TAACGAATATGTTATATACGACTATTATGCGCCCAGATAGAACAAATGTTAAAATCAAGTCATAAGACGTGTTTAATTTGTATATGTAAGACATCTTTAAGAGATTATCTACAATAAATACCCAGATAACAGCGAGAATTGAAAAAGAATTCAGTCGTAGGTCAGCAATTGTGAGTTTATTTTTAGGTGCAAAAAGAATTCTTTTCACTGAACACTGATGAATTCTTTTTGCATTTAAAAATGAACTCAGAATCGGTGACATACGACTGAATTCTTTTTAAATCCCCTGTGTTATGTGGGTACTTATTGTATAGATAGCCTCATAGTTTATATTTCAAAGAAATATCTATTAGCTGTACATTGTACATTTTTCTATGCGCATTTTATATACATGTTTTATATATATTATAGATATGTGCTTATAGACATATATTACTTAACATTATATGTAAAAAATCTGAGTATTATTGTATATATCTGAGTATTTATTGTAGATAATCTCCTAAAGATGCCTTAAAGACAACTTAAACACGTCTTATGACTGATTTTAATATTAGTTCTATCTGGGTGCATAATAGTCGTATATAACATATTCGTTAATATATATAAAATGAACATATGTGTACATATAAATTAACATATGTGTAATAGATGTCTGTTAATCGTAAAGAATATATTATCTTACACATTCATTAAACACATTATATATGTACATTATATATATACATTAATTGTAAATAACACAAGCTATATATATTTATATTTCTTTTTTATATACGTATGCCATACATCTATTAGACATCAATAATATGCCACTATATAAATATTTTATGCACATTGTTTATACCTCAAAGAAATATCTATTAGTTGTAAATTGTACATTATTCCATGCACATTTTATATATGTATTTTATATGTATTATGGATTTGTGCTTATATACGTATATTATTTAACATTACATTTACATATATTATACATATAGATAACATATAGAAACAATTGTTGTAAATAATATTTATTAAAAGTTTCTTTTAAAATTTAGTAATTTGATTTGTTTAATTTGGATTTTCTTGGATTTTTTAACTTTTTTTGTTGGATTAATCATTATAACATTTTGTTAAAAATGTAAAAGTAATCATCACTGGTTCACTACATTACATCAATATTTATCGCATATCGAATGTTGTATTGTTTCAATATCTATCAACAAATTATCCAATAAACAACAAGTAAAAATTATTATAACTATTATTTGATGTTTGCTAGGTATGTTATAATGTACTGTGAACACTATAAGGATACATTATATAAGCATGAATTGTAAGAACATCGTTGGAGTCATCAGAGTCATCGCGTGCGCGCTCGATCATTAGGTTAAGCAACAGTTTACTGCGGTCAGGACATGGATGGGTGGTGACCGGTGTTTTTATATCGCTTGGGATCGAAATTATCGCAGGAGGATTCATGAAAGTTTGGAATGTGTTTTGACAACCTTCGATAGCTATACCCCACATAGAACAGTTACATCTAAATATATGTATATTTTAGAAGAGGGCTAGAGTTGATATGTATATATCTATTAGATGTTCCGGAGTTGATCTGTTAAATATCTATATATGGTGAAAATGTCCGCCTTGTATACAGATACTGTATGTATAATAGAAATGATGTGATAGATGTTTATATATCTATTAGATGTTCCGGAGTTGATCTGTTAAATATCTATATATGGTGAAAATGTCCGCCTTGTATACAGATACTGTATGTATAATAGAAATGATGTGATAGATGTTTATATATCTATTAGATGTTCCGGAGTTGATCTGTTAAATATCTATATATGGTGAAAATGTCCGCCTTGTATACAGATACTGTATGTATAATAGAAATGATGTGATAGATGTTTATATATCTATTAGATGTTCCGGAGTTGATCTGTTAAATATCTATATATGGTGAAAATGTCCGCCTTGTATACAGATACTGTATGTATAATAGAAATGATGTGATAGATGTTTATATATCTATTAGATGTTCCGGAGTTGATCTGTTAAATATCTATATATGGTGAAAATGTCCGCCTTGTATACAGATACTGTATGTATAATAGAAATGATGTGATAGATGTTTATATATCTATTAGATATCTAATAGATATTTGTATGTATCAACTATAAACGTATATTATATATATATATA